GGCAGAGGAAAGAGCTGGGCTCCCAGGTAGGAAGAGGGAGGGGCCGGGCTCCCAGGTAGGCAGAGGAAAGAGCTGGGCTCCCAGGTAGGAAGAGGAAAGAGCTGGGCTCCCAGGTAGGAAGAGGGAGGAGCTGGGGTTGGGCGCTCTCCCCCAGCTCCCCGGCACCCCAGCCCCACCTGGTTGTGCCTCCACCATCGCCAGGCTCATCTTGTTTTGTGAAGGTGCATGCAAAGGCTTCTCCCTCTGGGTCATGAGCTCCTGGCAGGCATGGACTTATCTCCGAACTGGTCCATCTCCAGGCCTAGCATCTACATGCTCAGTGGCATTTGCTGACTGATCAGAAGCACAGACCCATCTCCATCTCCCAGATGCCAAACCCCTTCCTCATCCACATGGAGCTAAGATAGCCTCTGGTTTCGAATCCCCCGTCTGGCACTTCACCAGCCGTGCCATCTTGGACAGATATTGAAAACAGGGTGAACTTGAGGAGCATGTTTCTCGTGGAGATGGACGATACGAGGACGGCACAGATGCGACGTGTAAAGTACGCAGCAGGTGTGCGCTGATTCCCTTCCCCTCCCCCCACCCAGGGAGGACCTCGGCCGAGGTGGCATGTTCAGGGACGCTCAGGGACAAGACCTTCTCCCTCTACCTCCACCTGCCGTCCCCACCCACATCCTCTGACTTCACATGAGGGCACACTCTGATTTTCCAGTGTTTATTAAACACTGTTCGGAAAGTTGTGCGTTGCATCAGCCGTGCACAGACGTGAGCTGTGTTCCGACACTGAGGGTCAACAGTTCAAGTGAGGCTGCCCACTAGCGACATTTGGGCCAGATCATTCTTTATTGTGGGGGCTCTCCTGGGATCTGGAGGGGGTTCATCAGCATCCCTCGCCTCTACCCACCAGATGCTAGTAGAACCACCCCCCAAATCTTAACAACCAAAAATGTCTCCAGGCATTGCCAAATGTCCCCTGGGGGAAAAAAATCGATGCTCTCCAGGAGCCACACAGAACTCGACACATGGTGACCCCAAAGGGCTGACGGTCCGTGGGGGGCCTCTCTGGTGTGACCTGGCCACCCCTCCAGAGGGACACAGACAGCTCAGCACACATAACCCCTGGACGGCCCAGAAGGGCCAGGGCCTAGAGGGGCACAACCTCCTATCTTGGGGTGCCCCCTCCCCCACACAGTGAACCTTGAAGACCCAGTATTGACACGCAGGGTGAGGGCACCACGCAGGTGTAACCCAGGGAGGGAAAGGCCAGCTTTGGTTGGGGGAGGGGGCACACCTCCTCTTGGAAATACAGAAAATACACACGGTCGAGGACACAGCTTAGAAACAAACCCACTTTAATTAGTAGTGTACACAGAGCTCCAGGGCAGGGAGGGCGTGGCTGGGTGAGACCAGGCCACACACCTGTCCTGGCCAAGGTACCTGGTCTGCTTCCAGGGTTCAGGCTGGGGCCGGGCGGGGACACAGAAGCAGGGGCAGGGGGGCTACCTTGAGCAACAGGCACCAGGGCAGGGGTGCAAGGTGTGCAGAGCTGGGGCTGGGGCGTGTGCATATCTGTGTGTTCACGTGTGTGTACATGTATATACATGGGCACAACGTACACAGGACCCACAGGAGCCCTCAAAGCCAGATCTAGGGAGAGTGGCAAGGAGAAGATGCCTCAAATCTCTGAAGGCCCCAGGGGCTGAGGCAGCCTCAGGAGAGGGGCCACATCACGGTGTGTGTGAATGCTCAGACCCGGCCCTGCTTCTGCCACTCACAGACTCGCTGTGTGATCTGGGGCAAGTTACTTACCCTCTCTGGGCCTCAGAAATATTCACTAGATGCACACTAAGGTTCCTTGTAGCCCTAAACTTCAATATTTTCAAGGAGATTAAGATATAAAATGTGTTTAAGAGCTGATGACAAGAGATTTTGGTCTACAGGTTCAAATCCCTGTGCCTGGTGCCCAGCACAGCCCAATCCCAGGCACGAGGAAAAGACACGGGGAGCTTTTCTCACCTCCCTCTCCCAGGCTCAGCTCTGGTGCTCAGCTGTTCCTCCACGCCTCCCAACAGCTGGTGTGCAGAAGGCAGTGGACAGCAGGGACAGGCAGAGGCCAGGTGAGTGAAGGGGCAGAGGCAGGGCTGGGGAGGGCCCCGGGCTTGGGGGCATAAAGTGCGTCGCTCACCGTCTTTGTTTCCCAGCACACAGCGGGCCCCGCGCCCAGCAGGTGCTCAATAAATGCTTGAGGAACAAGCACAGTGGAGGACAGCATAAGTCTCAGCGGAGCCGGGGCTGGGGCTCGTCACTGTCCCCTGAGTCCAGCTGCCTCCTCTGAAATGGGGGCAGGAGGAGGAGGAGCCCAGCCTGCCTGCCCCGCCCGTGCCAGTGTAAACTGTGAAGCTCCGTCCAGCTGCAGACAGGCCACAGGAACCCCACCTGGGAGTGGGGAGGAAGGTGTCCCCAGGGGAGGCCGTGGATCTGAACGAGGGGTCACTGGGCTTTCACAGGACAACGATCTCCATCTCTACCGCTACACACGACATGAGAACAGCTGCAACCACAAAGCACAACCAGCAGACGAGAGGAACCTGGGAGAGGCTGAGGGAGGCGGTCCAGGAGACGTGGCCCCGCCTCCCTTCAGACACACAAACGCCCCTGCTCAATGTCAGGGATGGCTAGGGGCCAACTTGTGGGGTGGGGGTAGAAACAGCTGAGTCAGAGGGCAAGATTTTCAGGATGGGGGGTGTCTCCCAGCTGCCACCTAAACTAAGCTGGGTCTTACACCAGGACAGCAGCAACCTCCCCCATCTGGCTCTGGGCATTGTTTTTATTCTGTGACTGTTCCAGGAGGTTCTGTTGGATGCAGGAATCACGGCCCCTCTGGCATCGGCATTTCTTACAACCCAAGGACAGGAAGGCTCGGACTGGGGTCCCTGCCTAAGCCCAGATGTCTCCCGACCTTGTCTCCCGCCCCGCAGAGACCCATCTCCCCATGGAGGAGATGAAACCGCGGGGCCGCCGTGGAGAAGAGGGATCCAAGGGAAGTGGAGAGAAGGCAGGAGAATGTACAGAGGTTAGAGGCTGGGGTCCTCTGGGCTGGCGCCAAAGGTCTTTGAACACGACTGCCGTGGGGTCTCGTTGGGAGGACGCGGGCAGTGGGCATCTGGGGCCACCTCTCGTAAGGCACTGCCCGGCCTCCCTCCCGCTCACTGGATGGTGCATTTGTCCCGCTCTCGGGCCTGGCCCTCCCGAAGGACTTTGGCCTTGATGTACTTGAGGTCACTGTTGACGCTGGGGCGGCGGGCGAAGGGCGACACCATGCCATAGGCGTCCATCTCCTTGACGCGGCGCATGCAGAAGGGCCGGGGGTGGAAGGCCTCACCGTACTGCACGGAGATCTTGCGGTGCAGGGCGGGGCTCATCTCGTGCGGCAGCTTGGCCATGCTGAAGAGCACATAGAACATCTCGTCCACGTTGGTGTTCTTCTTGGCCGAAACCTCGAAGTAGGCGCAGTTCTCGTCGCCCGACACCAGCAGCTCGGCCTCCGTGGCGGGCACCTGGCGGCACAGCTCGCCGTGGTCGTTCTTGTTGCCGCAGATGACCATGGGCAGCTCGGCCGCCTCCTTGGTCTTGTTCTTCAGGCAGGACTTGACCTCCAGGATCTGCTTCTGGAGGCGCTTGACCTCATCGAAGGACTCCCGGTTATCCAGGCTGAACACCAGGATGAAGACGTCGCCTGCAGGAGAGAAACCCAGGCGGTGAGTCCACAGCCGGCTCCGGACCGCCCCTCCCCGCTCTCTCGACTGCCCGCTCTGCCTGACCCATCGTCCTGACAGCTGATGTTCACGGATGCGCTGAGCCCTTCACACGGCGTCACTTAACCCTCCAGCGGCTCTAGGGAAGAGGTGCATTATTCTCCCATTTTCCCGAGCAGGAGACTGACGCCCAGAGCATTAAATCCCCTGTCACGTAGCTAGTATGGGGCACAGCCTGGTTCAAACGCAGTTAATTCACCCTACACTCCCGGGAGCTGCAGGGCTGGAGACGGGTGAGTGAGCTGTGCACTTGTGCACACTGTGTCTGAATAATAATAAAGACTATTTCCATGAGGGCAGGGGTCTTGCGTGTCTTGTTCAATGCACATCCCCAGGGCCTGGAATAGCACCTACCGCATGGGAGGACCTCAGAGCGTCGACGTCAGGCAGGCTAGGTTTATGTCCTGCCTCCTCCACTTAGTAGCCACGCAGCCTTGAGTGGGTCACACAACCTCTCTAAACCTCAGTTTCCCCATCTGTCCCATGTGGATGAAATCCTGCCTTGCAGGATGATTTTGATGGTTTCACGAGATAACGAATGGGCCGAGGCATGCTCAGCGATATTAGGTCTCAATAATGACGATGAGAACGAGTCCCTGTGAGCGCCCGCATGGGTCATGGGCTGTGTGCCCACTTTCTCCCCCGACTCCTCCCAAAACCCCTGAGAGGAAGACTTCATTACCCTCCTGTTATAGGTGAGCAATCTGAGGCTCAGAAAGGGCGAGCAACCTGCCCAAGATCACACAGCTCGAACGTGGCCAGGCCGAGATTTGGACCCGATTCTGTCTTCACCTAGCTCGTGCCCGGCACACAGTGGGTGCTCTCTGCTTCTTGCATAAATCACGGATGAATAAGTGAACGCTGGCCTCCAAGGCCCACGCTATCCCTGCTACAGCTCACTGCATCTGTCAAGACGGGGCTTTGACTCTGAAACAGGGACAATTTGCAGAGGTGGCAGAGGCGGCGGGGAGGGCAAGAGAGGGCTGGTGCCCCCACCCAATTTCCAGATCTTACTACAGTGAGCATAGCCTCATGCTCAAAGCACCTTCCACACTTTAGCTTAAACTCTTAAGCACCTGTGGGGAGATGTCAAGATCCGTTTTACAGACAAGGAAACTAAGGCTCAGTGGCGTTGGTGACTGGCCCTAGTTCTCAAGAGGGGAAGCCAGCTGCCCATTCCTCTGGGCCCTCAGAACACGCCATTTGCCCCCCATAGTAGCACATGCCACATTCAGCACTGTGTCTGGCCAATGGTGTGCTCCAAACAGTCAGATCTGGGGCAAAGGGAGACTTCATCACCCCTCCTCGCCTCCCAGAGCCCAGCGCACAGTAGCTGCTCACAAAGCCAGATGAATGGACAGGATGGGGGGGAATGAATGACGGGGTGAGCTGTTTAGAAAGGCAGTGCCAGCCTGGCAACTGTTTCTGCTCGGGCTGCCACACCCTGTCCCGATAGGCTAATCCTGGGCCCCCGAGGGCTCGGTGGCCTTGACATATTCAAATGCAAGACCGCGATGCCAAGCTGCAGAGACGGCCGGCTGGCAGCTGGAAGGAGAGCTGGCGGCGGAATTGATGGCTCTCAGAATCTCCTGTGCACCAGCACCAGGCTGGAAAATGAGGCCCGGGGTCGGGGAAGGAAGAAAGCAGGCAGCCGACAGATGTGCTCAGAATGATGTGCGCATGTTAAAAGAGACAGACGAAAATGCTCTATTATGAGGATACAAATACCACTGTCAGTGTGCTCATGGGGGGTCCAGAGAGTCCACACCAGACAGAGGGGTGGCCACCTCCCGGGACGGGGCAGGAGCCCGGGGTTGGGGGCATGGGGCAAGCGGGCTTTTTAGCCTCATCTGTATGTTTAAAGGAAGGTGTGAGTGTATTATTTGTGTAATTAGAAACTAATTTTGGGGGGCCGGCCCAGTGGCGTAGTGGATAAATTTGCACACTCCACTTCGGCAGCCCAGGGTTCGCTGGTTCGGATCCCGGGGCGCGGACCTACACACTGCTCATCAAGCCATGCTGTGGAAGCGTCCCACATACAAAATAGATGAAGATGGGCACAGATGTTAGCTCAGGGCCAATCTTCCTCAGCAAAAAAAAAATGATAATAATTAATTTTGGAAGTATGCACATGGTCCCTTCCCACCTCTCCTTCCCCTCCCTCTGACATTAGCCTAGTTTATATGGTGGGCGCCCAGTCCCCTCCCCGAGGCAGGGAATGCTGACATCCCTCTAACACCCACCACGCACTGGAAGCACCCTCCACGCCCTTCCTTTCAGTCCTCAAGGCTGCACTGGGGAGGAGCAGGGCCATGCCCGGCGTGCAGCTGGGGAGACTGAGAGCCAGACCTCTGGTCACACGTCTGAACCACCACGCAGTGAAGCCAGGACTGGAACCCAGGTCATCCCAGGGCTCCTACCCACACACTCCCTCTCCAAAATACGGGGTGGGGCTGGGGGAGGTCCAAGTGCAATCTGGGTCAGAGGTCAGCAAGGACAGCCTGGAGAGGAAGCGTCTTCCCTGGGACACTCAAGGAGGGCCTGGGCTGGGGTGGGGGTGGGGCAGGCATGGCATGAGTTTCTCGGTGCAGAAGTATCTCGATTTGGGGGGTTGCTTTGTGACGGCTGGAGGGTTACTCACTCTTCCTTCCCTCCATCGCTGCCCAGCAGTGGGAGGGGACAGCTGGGAAAGGACCCTGCATGGCCGTAGCAGGCACACTGTAAATGCTGGTTACCTTTGGACCAACAGCTACTGAGCACTCCTATGTGCTCACCACGCTCTTTACAGATAGTGACCATTTCACTCTCACAGTGACCTCTGGGATGGGTGCCAGTGTGATGCCAATGTACAGACGAGAACACTGAGGCACAAAGAGATAAAGCCACTTGCCCAGGGGTACAAAACCAGGGAGCAGTGGAACCACGACAGGACCCATGCAGACCGCGGGTCTCTTAGCTCCACGTGGAGGTGCTGGAGTAATGTAAGGATGGCCCAGTCCCACGTCTCCCCTTGCTCCCTCAATCCAGACAATCTCCCTCTCCCTCCCCATTACCCCCCTCCCAGCAGGACCAAGAGGCTACAGGAAAGCTTGGTGGTAAAGCATGAGAGCCAGACTGCCATCTACCAGCTGTGTTACCACCTGGAGTAACTTAACCTCTCTGGGCCTCAGTCTCCCCACTTGTAAAATGCAGGCGAAAACCTATCTCCTTGGTTGGTTGTGAGGATTACATAAACACATGCCCAGCTCTAAGAACAGGCTGGGCACATGGCTCTTGATAAGTGTTAGCTACTGTGATTACTACCGAGCCCCCAGCACGGGCAGAGCCCCTGGCTGCCCTTTGGCTGACCACTGCCCGGTCCTGCCCCTACCTCTCTGAGAGGTGGCAAAGGTCTGGGATGTCAAGAGACCTGAGCCCAGCAGACTGACCACAGGCCCCAGAGCTCTGCTGAGTCACCTCCCGCAGGAGGAAGCAGCAGCCCCTGGGTTTCCCGGAGAGGACTGTCTCCAGTGCACCTCTGCAGCATTCCTGATCCGGAAGGCAGCACGTGCATCATGAGTAACCGATCCAGGCAGACAGAATGGACTCCGGGCCCCAACTCCACCATTTGCCTGGCCAAGCAGCAACACTTCATCTCAGACGACAGATACACAAGTGCTCTGCAAACTGTAAAGTGCCGAGCACACACCCCCACCCCAGGCACCCACCTGTGAGGATGGAGAGCCTGCGCATGGCGGGGAAGGGGTGGTTGCCGGACGTGTCCAGGATGTCCAGCTGGTACATGTCGCCACGGATGTTGTAGACCTTGCGGTGGAAGTCCTCGATGGTGGGTGTGTACTGGTCCTCGAAGCGGCCGTTGAGGAAGCGGGAGACGATGGAGCTCTTGCCCACCCTCGAGGCGCCCAGCACCACCATGCGGTAAGAGTTCTTGGCAGGCACGCTGAGCGCGCAGTTCCCGCTGGACAAGGTCTTCATCATGGCTCGGGGCTGCAACAGAGAGCGGGAGCAGGTGTCAGGAGGCCCTGGATCGCTGGAGGCCTCCGCCTCCTCTGCACGGCTCCTGTCTGGGGCTCAGTTTTCTGGCTGTAAAATGGGAACGCTGCACTAGGGGCTCTCCAAGGGGCCTGCAGTTCTGCCCGCTCATTCCTTCATGCCCTCTCTTGTTGCTTTTCTCCCTCACCCACTCATTCATTCACTCCCTTATTCACCCCAGCACGGGACTTCTGGGGCTCAGCTCCTCACTTTACCCCTAACTCCCTACTGCTCTTGGGCAAGTGCTTAACTTCCCTGGGAGTCACTCTTCTCGTCTGTCAAATGGACTCAACTCACGGGGCTGTGGTAAAACGCTCAGTGTACGGCAAGGTCTCAAAAATGCTAACTCTAGTAGAACCCGTTCTCTCCCTGGTGTCTCCATCCTTTCCAGCTCTGGCCTCCCGGGAGCCCGTGCCTGCAGGACACCACCCAGGGACGGCACCAGAGAGCTTGCCTTCAGCACGAGCGTGGGTGCCAAGGCCCTTCAGCCCCCCAGGAAGAAGGGAAAGGCCATGTCCAGACCACCTCCTCCACGCCCAGGGCCTGGGCTGCCCCACGATTTTCGCCCCCCAGGCCCTGGGAGTTTGCCCACCTCCAGGAGACCCAGAGACCTGGGCTAGGGGATGTGGGTCAGGGAAATGACCCGTGAGTGACTCAAGTCCTTCATAGCTCCAACGGTTTATGGTTCTGGAGCACACCCAGAACTTTCCATGAGAGCCTCCTGGCCTTGCGGAAGAGGTTGAAATGGATCCAAGCTCCAAACCCCAAGTGGAGACAAAGCAAAGCTCCAGAGGCTCCAGCAGGCCCTCCCCAAAGGCCATTCACAGCCCAGCCCCCTTTCCGATTTCAGCACCCACCAGAACCACCACCCCTGAGCCCCAGTGGCCCTAGTTAGCGTGAGCTCTGCTGAAACCTGCCCCTGCTCCTTAGCTTACGCCAGTCTACCTCCCGAAACACCCTCTTCCGTTCACGTTTCAGGCCCTGGCTCAAATGCCGCCTCCTCCCTGAAGGCTTCCCTGACTTCCTACCCCGCCCCAGCAGGAATCTCTCCCCTCTCTAGAGAAGAGGAACCACATACGGGTAGAGGCCTGCTGAAATATCCATCCCCTCTGCTCTCAGCGGGCTGCCATACGTGGTTGTGTGGGCTGGGCACTGCACCAGGCACTTGGTTGGGTGGGAAAGTGGGGGCCGTCTTTGCGGAGTTCATCTGCTCAGAGAAGGCACTTTTTTTCAATGTGCACAAAGGGCTGTGCTAACCACGACTGGTCCCCACGCCTGGAGGCCCCAGGTCAGGAGCCTGGAGTGCCTCCCCCGTTCACCTGAAGGCTCTCTCCAACACCATAATGTTGTATGTCTGCCATGAGGCTAAGAGACTTGAGGTGGCGATACCTCCTGCGGGCGAGTCCTGTTCAGGGCACTCAGGCCTCCACACCTGCTTGCCCTGCCCCATTGAGAGCCGCTGTGCAGTAAACCAGCTCTCAAAAACACATTTCTAGAAAGCTCTGATCAGTAGTGCTTGTCAATTTCCATGGCTTACATCCTCCCACCACGGCCAGCTCCCAGCTACCAGGATGACCTCCGTGAATGAAGGGACGCATGCCATGAGCCCGCTCAGCACCCCGCGGACCCTGGCCTGGAGTCGTGACAACAGTCACCATTGACCAAGCCTGTGCCACGCGCCAAGCACTGTGCTAAGGATAGGACAGTAATAAAAGCTGACATTTATTTTGCAGCTAATAGATGCCAGAGTCCTCTAAGTGCTGAACATGTAATAACCCACTTCACCCCTCAGTAACCCTAGAAGGTAGGTGGAGTTATGCCAATTCACAGATGAGGAAACTGAGGACCAGAGAAGTTTAGTGACTTGCTCGCGGTCACACAGCCAGTAACCAGCAAAGGAGGGATTTGAGCCCAGGCAGTCAGCCCCGTGCTATGGAGTCTCCCCACCACCTCCCTACCGGGTACATATCATCCTCTCTTGTCACAAATAAAGACCCTGACGCTTAGAAGTCTACGTGACTGGCCCATTTAGTTAACAAGGGAGCAGGGACAGCCACGCCAAGCCTAAGACCTCCACATTCCCTCCCAGTTTATGCTTGAAGCCATCTCTCACTTTATCCCACAGGGTTTCAGTGCCGTACAGACAACAGGCGCTCAATAAATGATCTATGAATGAATGGAACAAGTGGCTCTGCCTTGGGAGCTTGCCCGAAGCCTCCTTCTGGGGCCTTCTCCCTCGATCCCAGCCCTGCCTGCTGGCCGAGGAGCTGTGCTGAGGAGGGTCTCGGCACCCTGGGCACACCCATGGGCAGGCAGTGGGGAGAGGGGGCTGTAAGATCATCACCAGGGAACCCTTCTCAGTCTCCTTCGGGGCTGGGCAAGCTGGCCTGGGCCTCCAGCAGAGATGGGGAAAAGTGGCCCCACGCCATGACAGCCCCATCCCCAGGTCCCTCAGCAGGGAGCTTCACTCTGCTGCTGGGCCCCTCTGTCTAGACAGACAGAGGAGGAGACCAGCAGCCCCCAGGGACAGTGTTTCTCTCCATCACCGCCTGCCCCAGCCTCTAGCCAAGAGCCCCTGGGACAGACGTGCTAATACCAGTGACTGAAGGGGCCTGAGGAAGTCAGAGAGGAGGCAGGGAGCCAGAGAGAAGAGACCGGGAGTCCGAGAGAGGAGGCAGCCAGTCAGAGAGAGGAGGCAGGAAGGCAAAGAGAGGCAAAGGAGAAAAAAAAATATGCGGCTTTCATCTCTGAGAGGACTGTGAGTTTCACATGGCCCCAGCCACGTGGGGCTGTGTGAGGCGCCCAGACACCTGGACACCAGGTGACAGCGCCACCACGGGTTCCGCCTCCCACCCCCACATCTTTCTTCCCTCTCCTCCCCCAGAGGAGGCCCTGTGGGCAGCGCTGTGGGCACAACTTCCCTCCTCCTCTGCTGCCTGCTCTCCTCTCTCCATCCTCAGCCAGGCTGACCCCACAGTGAGGAGCAGACAGGCATCAGAGTTCAAAGAGCCCTTGGAGAGTATAGAGTCCACCCTGGAGGCCCAGAGAGTGGTTAACGGGGACCCTAGGGCCATTCTAAGGGCACCTGGGAGGCAGAAAGTCCTGGAGCAGAGATGTAGTGGGGCCACCCTGGACGAAGAGTAGCCACAGCTAGGCAGCTTACATCATGCTGGGTGCTTTGTGCCCCTCATTCCAATGACTTCACAACAGCCCCATCAAGAGCGGACCGCCATTGACCCTCTGGACCGATGGGGACACTGAAGCTCCGAGAGGCTGAGTCACTGGCCCAGGTCACAGATGACTGGCTGGGCCAGGATTAGAATCAGGCCGGCTTCAAAGTCTGGGCTCTTACCTTGATGAAAACCCACCCCCTGGCCAAAACCAGAGTCTTTTTCAAAACAGTATCTGACTCAGTGAGCCTCAGCTGGTGTCAGGCAGGGAGGGACCCCTGAGGCCTATTCCACGCTCATTCCCTCTCTCTCCCTACAAGCAGCTGGGGGGGGGCGGCACCCTGCCCAGGACTCTCCCCCAAACCCTGCCCACCAGCTCCCAGCAAATGCATCTGTGGGTTTACCCGCTTCTCCGCCCTCGAGGCCCTCCCCCCGGGCTTGCCTGGAATACAGAGGGTGAGATGGTCGAGGACGGCAGGACGAGAGTGGACGCATCCTCCTCTCCGTGAGTGCCCCAGAGCTAGTTTCCCGGCACTGGCCCCCTTTCCCTCCCTCCCTCCCACACACCTCAAGCCTCCTCCATCAGCGCACACTCCAGCCTCTCTGCACACACTTGTATTCACCGGCCTCCAGGCCCACACTGAGGGCAGTCCTGGGGGCTTTGCAAAATCAACCTCACCACCCTTGACGGCACGGGATGGTAGAAAGCAGGCAGGCATCAGCTTTCGGCAGACCAGCTCTGCCTCTCGCCAGCTCAGCCACCTTGGGGAAACGGCCTGGCCTGACAGGGCTGGTCATCTATCACACGTGACGGTCAAAACAACCCCACAGCGCGGCCCTGAGAGTTCAGGGGGAAAGTCAAGAGGCTCATACAGCCCCTGGCACCCAGCAAGCAGGCTCCTTTCTTTGTGGCACTTCCTCTTGGTATCAAGGGGCTGTCTGGGGCCGCCAGGTGGGGCAGGCCTGGAGCGCAGGCAGAGGTCTTGGGGGACCCCGTCTTGTCTCTCTGACGCCAGGGGAAGCCTGAATCACGGGCTCCTGAGCTGGCAGCGCCCTCCCAGCCCGGCCTCCTATCTCCCATGATGTCTTGGACAACATCCTTTGTCATCCTCCCAGTGCTGTGGGCAGAGGGAGGAGAGGTCAGAGACAGCCCCTCAGAGGCAGGGGCCCTCTGACCAGCTGAGCACAGGAAACCCTTCCTGGGAAGGAAACCTTACTCCTTGCACCAACCCAGAAAAAAGCTCAAGGAACTGTGGACAAGGAAGGCGCTCCTTAATCTTCCCTCCTCAAAGGAGGTGCTCACCAGGGCTGGGGGGCCACCAGCTGGCCCCATCCCAGCCCACCCTCAGTCCAGGTTTGCAGGCTGCAGCTGGCTCAGGAAGCGGGGTGGGGGTGTTCGGGGAAGCGAGGTGTCTCTTCCTCCGGAGCCTCAGTTTCCACACACTTAAATGGGCTATTACTCCAGATCTCTTAAATGGAAAGCTCCCAGCAGCAAATCTGGCGCACGGCAGAAGCTCAGTAAGTCTTTCTTGCCTGGGATAAGTAAAGGGCCTAGCCCCCAGCCTGACACAGTAAGTGCTCAACGAACTTAATTTTCTCTAGACATGCAGAGGTCCCGGATGATCCCGGCACGTAGTAGGTGCTGCATCAGTTTAACTCTCCCTCGCCATGTAAAGCGTCACCTAGCCTTCCTCCGACAAGCCTCAAACCTCTGTTCCCGGCTTTCCCACTTCACCCCGCTCCCCACTTCTGGCGGGATGTCTCGCTCCTACCTGGGAACGGCGGCCCGGGCCTCTGGCACGGCTCGGAGGGCTGCCTGGAAGCGCCTGGAGGTGCGAGGAACCGCCTGCCTCTCCGGCAGCCGCCGCCGAGCTTTCCGGGGTCTGCGGCGGCTCCCGGGTCACTGCGCCGGGCTCCTCCTCTGCGCGGCTCGGGGCGCCGGGCTGGGCGCGGCCGGGCGAGGGGGCACGAGGAGCCGGAGCCCCATGGGTGGGTTCCGAGGGCTCGGCAGGGCCCGGGCGCCGGGCGGGCTCCGGCTCGCCGCCGCCGGCCCGGCCCTGCCCCGACCCGGGGGACTCCCGCTGAGCCAGGTGCCCAGAGGAGCGGGGACGTCCGATGCTGGGGTCCCCGCCTGGGGCTCTGGGGAGGAGGGGAGGGCGGTAGGGGCGACTCCGGGGCTTAAAGAGGGTCCTAGAGACTCCTGGAGGGTCCTTTGGAGGTGACTGTGTGTGCGTGCGTGTGTGCGTGTCCCGGGCGGGCGAACCCACCCTGGCCGCCTATGCTCCCTTCTCTGCCCGCCCCAAAGGGAGTCGCTCGGGTTGGGGGCGGTTCAGCCGCGGCCTCCTCCTCTGCCCGCAGCTCTGCAGCTCGCCCCGCGACAGGGAAGGCTCCTTTCTCCCTGCGAGGCGACGCCAGCAGAAGGAGGAGCAGGGCGCTCAGCTCCGCGCGCGTGTGGGAGGGGGCCTTGAACGCCGCCCCAAGGCTTCGCAGCTCCGGGTTAGCCTCACACCGGCTCCTCCTCCCCCTGTGCCCCCTCTGGCCCCCGGAGAAAGCGAACTTTCTGCGGGGCCCCGCCTCCTGCCTCCTTCTCTCTCCCGGAGGCGAACGCCTCTCCTTCTCCCGCAGAGCGAGGTCAAGGGTCCCTCCCAAAAGTGGTGGGAGCCCAGGCTCCCGATGGCGGTCCTAGCGGCAGAAGCCCAGCTCAGGCCTGGGCGCCCTCTGCCGCCCCAGCGAGCGGCCCCCCGCAGCCCCGTGGCCCGTCGCCCGC